CAGGTGTGATTTGGGGTGTCCCAGGTGTGATTTTGGGGCTGTCTCACCTGGTTTACGCTTGAGCAGGTGCTCGGCCTCGGCGGCGGTGACGTGGGACACGGTGGATTTGGGGTGTTTTTTGTGAGGATTTTGGGGGGTTCAGGTGTGATTTGGGGTGTCCCAGGTGTGATTTTGGGGCTGTCTCACCTGGTTTACGCTTGAGCAGGTGCTCGGCCTCGGCGGCGGTGACGTGGGACACGGTGGTCAGCACGTGGGCGCAGTGCGCGGCCGCGCGCTCCAGGCAGTACCGGTGGTAGATCTGGCGCTCACCTGCCTCCTTGTCCACGTCAAACTGCGGGGAGGAGCTCACCTGAGCTCACCTGGACACACCTGGGGTCACCTGGGGGTCACCTGAGCTCACCTGGACACACCTGGGGTCACCTGGGGGTCACCTGAGCTCACCTGGGGTCACCTGGACACACCTGGGGTCACCTGAGCTCACCTGGACACACCTGGGGTCACCTGAGCTCACCTGGGGTCACCTGAGCTCACCTGAGCTCACCTGGACACACCTGGGGTCACCTGGGGGTCACCTGAGCTCACCTGAGCTCACCTGGACACACCTGGGGGTCACCTGGGGGTCACCTGAGCTCACCTGGACACACCTGGGGGTCACCTGAGCTCACCTGGACACACCTGGGGGTCACCTGGGGGTCACCTGAGCTCACCTGGACACACCTGGGGGTCACCTGAGCTCACCTGGACACACCTGGGGGTCACCTGGGGGTCACCTGAGCTCACCTGGACACACCTGGGGGTCACCTGAGCTCACCTGGACACACCTGGGGTCACCTGGACACACCTGGGGTTACCTGAACACACCTGGGGTCACCTGGACACACCTGGGGTCACCTGGGGGTCACCTGGACACACGTGGGGTCACCTGAGCTCACCTGGGGTCACCTGGACACACCTGAGCTCACCCAAATCCCCGGAGTGAGCCCTGAGCCCCAGGTGTGACCCCACATCCCCAGGTGTCCCCAGGTGTGACCCCAGGTGTGTCCCCAGGAATGTCCAATTGTCCCCAGGTGTGTCCCTGACCTTAGCAGGTGTGGCCCCACATGCCCAGGTGTTCCCAGGTGTGTCCCCACGTGCCCAGGATGCACTCAGGTGTGTCCAGGTGTTTCCCCGACATTCCCAGGTGTGTCCCCATGTCCTCAGGTGTGTCCCAGGTGTCCCCATGTCCTCAGGTGTGTCCCCATGTCTCCAGGTGTTCCCAGGTGTGTCCCCACGTGCCCAGGATGCACTCAGGTGTGTCCAGGTGTTTCCCCGACATTCCCAGGTGTGTCCCCATGTCCTCAGGTGTGTCCCAGGTGTCCCCATGTCCTCAGGTGTGTCCCCAGGTGTGTCCCCAGGTGTCCCCAGGTGTATCCCCATGTCCCCATGCCCCCAGGTGTATCCCCATGTCCCCAGGTGTGTCCCCAGGTGTATCCCAGCCCCCCAGGTGTGTCCCCAGGTGTATCCCCATGTCCCCAGGTGTATCCCCATGTCCCCAGGTGTGTCCCCAGGTGTATCCCCATGTCCCCAGGTGTGTCCCCAGGTGTATCCCCATGTCCCCAGGTGTCCCCAGGTGTATCCCCATGTCCCCAGGTGTGTCCCCAGGTGTATCCCCATGTCCCCAGGTGTGTCCCCAGGTGTATCCCCATGGCCCCAGGTGTCCCCAGGTGTACCCCCATGTCCCCAGGTGTATCCCCAGGTGTGTCCCCATGTCCCCAGGTGTATCCCCAGGTGTGTCCCCATGTCCCCAGGTGTGTCCCCATGTCCCCAGGTGTGTCCCCAGGTGTGTCCCCATGTCCCCAGGTGTGACTCACGCTGTGCAGGTTGTTGTAGAAGTCCACGCTCCCGGCGCACAGGTAGCGGCCCAGCAGGGTGGCGTGCGTGGTGAAGATGGTGGCCACGGGCAAGCGCCGGGCGCGGCTCAGCACCAGCCCCAGCCCCGCCAGCCACTCGTGGAAGTGACCCACGATGAACGGCCGCTCCTCGCTCTGCGCCGCAAACTGACCGCCGGGGGACAGCCGCGTCACCAGGTGCGCACAGGTGCGCACAGGTGTGCACAGGTGTGCACAGGTGGCACCCAAAGTCACCACGGGACACTCGAGGTGTCCCCACAGCCCACCTGAAAACCCCCCGGTGACACTGTTGCTGTCACCAGGTGTGCACAGGGATCACCAGGTGTGCACAGGTGTGCACAGGTGGCACCCAAAGTCACCACGGGACACTCGAGGTGTCCCCACAGCCCACCTGAAAACCCCCCGGTGACACTGTTGCTGTCACCAGGTGTGCACAGGGATCACCAGGTGTGCACAGGTGTGCACAGGTGGCACCCAAAGTCACCACGGGACACTCGAGGTGTCCCCACAGCCCACCTGAAAACCCCCCGGTGCCACTGTCGCTGACAGCAGGGGTCACCAGGGGTCACCAGGTGTGCCCAGGTGTGCCCAGGTGTGCCCAGGTGTGCACAGGTGGCACCCAAAGTCACCACGAGGCACTCGAGGTGTCCCCACAGCCCACCTGAAAACCCCCTGGTGACACTATTGCTGACAGCAGGGGTCACCAGGTGTGCACAGGTGTGCACAGGTGTGCACAGGTGGCACCCAAAGTCACCACGGGACACTCAAGGTGTCCCCACAGCCCACCTGAAAACCCCCCGGTGCCACTGTTGCTGTCACCAGGGGTCACCAGGTGTGCCCAGGTGTGCGCAGGGGTCACCAGGTGTCACTGTCACCCACACTGATCCCACAAGAGGAACCCCAAAACCCCTTGGAGACCCCAAAACCCCTCTGAGGGACCCCAAAATCCCACCAGGGACCCCCAAACCCATCCCAAAAACCCCATCAGGGACCCCAAACCCACTTTGGGACACCAAAAACCCCCTGAGGGACCCCAAAACCCCTTCAGGGACACCCCAAATCCCATCAGGGCACCCCAAACCCCCTCAGGGACACCCCAAATCTCTCCAGGGACCCCAAAACCTCCTGAGGGACCCCAAAACCCCTTCAGGGACACCCCAAATCCCATCAGGGCACCCCAAACCCCCTGAGGGACACCCCAAATCCCTCTGAGGGACCCCAAATCTCTCCAGGGACACCCCAAAATCCCAGCAGGGACCCCAGACCCACCTCTCCCAGGAACCAGGCCACCAGGAAGCCGAAGAGCACGGCGTCGTTGGCCTCGCGGTCGTACCAGGGCACGCCGATGGCGCAGCTCTCCCACAGCTCGCCCTTCCAGCGCTCCAGGCTCCAGGCCGTGGCCCCCACGTCCAGCAGCACCACGGCCGGGCTGCCCTCGATCAGCCAGCGCCCAAAATGCACCTGGAACCCCAAAATTTGGGGTCCTCAGCACCCCAAAATGTCACTTTGGGGTGCCCTTTTGTCGCTTTGGGGTCTCCTTTTGTCACTTTGGGGCTCAAAACGGGGAAATCCCAAATTCCAGGGACACCCCAAAGATGAGTTTGGGGACAATTCCCATCAGGGAATGCCCAAAATGAACCTGGAACCCCAAAATTTGGGGGTCCCCCACACCCTCAGCACCCCAAAATGTCACTTTGGGATCCTCTTTTGTCACTTTGGGGTCCCCTTTTGTCACTTTGGGGTCCCCTTTTGTCACTTTGGGATCCCCTTTTGTCACTTTGGGGTCTCTTTTGTCACTTTGGGTCACAAAACGGGGAAATCCCAAATTCCAGGGAGACCCCAAATCCCCATTCAGGGCTGCCCTCGATCAGCCAGCGCCCAAAATGCACCTGGAACCCCAAAATTTGGGGTCCTCAGCACCCCAAAATGTCACTTTGGGGTGCCCTTTTGTCGCTTTGGGGTCTCCTTTTGTCACTTTGGGGCTCAAAACGGGGAAATCCCAAATTCCAGGGACACCCCAAAGTTGATTTTTGGGGTCTGCCCCATCAGGGAATGCCCAAAATGCACCTGGAACCCCAAAATTTGGGGGTCCCTGAACCCTCAGCACCCCAAAATGCCCTGTGAGAGCTCCCTAAAAGAAGGTTAAGAACCCCAAAACTGGGTTAGCACCCCCAAAATTGGATAAAGTTCCCAAAAATGGGATAAAATCCTCAAAGAAAATGGGATAAAATCCCCCCAAAATGGGATAAAATCCTCAAAAACTCGATAAAATTCCCCCAAAATGGGATAAAATCCTCAAAAACTCGATAAAATTCCCCAAAAAAGGAATAAAATCCTCCAAAATCAAATAAAATTCTCAAAAATCGGATAAAATTCCCCAAGAAAGGGATAAAATCCTACAAGAACCAGATAAAGTCCTCCCAAAAAGGATAAAATTCTCCAAAATCAGATAAACGCCCCTAAAAACAGGAGGAGAAATCCTAAAAATGAGATGAACACCGCTAAAAATGGAATAAATGTCCCCAAAAATGGAATAAATGGCCCTAAAAATGGAATAAATGACCCCAAAAATGGAATAAATGTCCCTAAAAATGAAATAAATGACCCCAAAAATGGAATAAATGTCCCTAAAAATGGAATAAAAGTCTCTAAAAATGAAATAAAAGTTCCTAAAAATGGAATAAATGACCCAAAAAATCCGATGAACGACCCCAAAAACGACCCTAAAATCTGACAAATGTCCCTAAAAAGGGGGTGAGCGACCCCAAAATGCCTCGAATGACCCCAAATGGGGTCTGGAGCCCCCCTGGAGGGGCCCCCTCCCCTTTTTTGGGATTTGGGGCCGCCCTGACCTTTGCTGGGTGTGGGGGGAGGGGCGGGGGGGGCTAAAAATAGACCCCACGTGCCCTGGGGGGGGGGAGGGGCAGCTTCGGGTGTCCCCAACCCCCCCCGGACCCTTCTGGCCCCTCCCCCACTGTCCCCAACCCCCCCCAGGACCCCCCAACCCCCCCCAGCCACAGGTGACCCCAAATTCTTGGGATCCCCGACCCCAAAACTCCTTCCCTGACCCCAAAACTCCCCCCAGGTGTCCCCAGGTGTCCCAGCTGTCCCCAGGTGTCCCCAGGTGTCCTCAGATCCCCCCAGGTGTCCCCAGGTGCCCCCCAGCTGTCCCCAGGTGTCCCCATAACTCCCCCCAGATCCCCCCACGTGTCCTCAGGTGTGTCCCCAGCTGTCCCCCAGCTGTCCCCAGATCCCCCCAGATGCCCTCCAGGTGTCCCCCAGGTGCCCCCCAGGTGTCCCCAGGTGTGTCCCCAGCTGTCCCCAGCTGTCCCCAGGTATCCCCAGGTGTCCCCAGGTGCCCCCCAGGTGTCCCCAGGTGTCCCCAGCTGTCCCTAGGTGTCCCCAGGTGTCCCCAGGTGT